ATTACACAGTAAACCAGGGAAAGCGTGCAAGAGCCTAGTGAACTATAAGTATTTCATGTGCAGTTGAGTTCATGCCTGCAACAACTGCTGTCTTGTTTCTGGTAAGTAAATGTGCTTGAGTGTTTCTGTCTTTTATAGTACTCTAGTAGTATGTAGTCGTATAGTATACTCTGTACATTGGATGCACCGCTTTTAGGTTAACGTTACTAACGTTAGCTAACTTTAGCAACAATTTTCTACTTATGTCATCCGTTACCAGAGGTCTGGTGAAACGCTGTTAAAAATCTGGGTCATGGCTGAAAACATGTAAAAATTGTCACCGCACACTGTAATTGCACTGAGCTCAAGGCATGTTAACACAATGCTTTCACATAACCATTTAAAATTAGTTGACGCCGCTCCTCCAGACTGAAGGCGGAGGCTTTTGATCCACAACTGCTACTAATTCTTTAGGTTTTTCTGTCCTTCTTCCCTGTACATCCTACTATTTTCAGGTCTGAAAGTGGCCATTGTTTTTTCCCAATTTGATCGATTGGAACATTTGTGCAGTGTTGGTTGTCTTTGCCTCCAGTTGCTTGCTCACTAATGTGGACAGCACACCGATGTATGATGTCATAAAGACGCTATAGACAAGGTAAGTGTAGAAGGGGGATGCTAGGACCCAAGCAGCTCTCACCTTGAGTGGCCAAATTTTGCCTGGGTCCTAGTGTCCCTCTGCTACATAAGCAACTCCTTATGAAGAAAATTTTGTTTTTCTTGCATGCCCCAACGGTGAACAAAGACGCCAAAAGAGAAAATGTTTTTGTGTGCCATTGTGTGCTTTATACAGCCCTGGATCGACTCCAGAGTCACATCACCACAGGCATCAGTTACTGGTGGAAATACTGATGCTGTCAGTTCATTGGAAGACTACCTGGTCTTCAACTACCTGGGTTTAAATTTCCCTCAAAATGACAACAATACTGACCATTACCATACTTACCAGTGTGGTCTCCTGCTCATCTGTGAGAGATCTTCCAACAGATAGACCGCCTCATACTCCTTTTTCACCAAATCAGCTCTGGTTCTTGAACCAGTTTGGTTCAGGATTATTGGAACCTTGGTTCTATTCAGCAAACCAACCCGTGTTTCGACTAGTTTTGTGCAAAACCATTGTAGTCATTTCTAGAGGATTTTGCACAATTCACAACAAAAGTAAACAGTAGTAGCAAAATCACAGATTACATTGATTACCTGCAAACTTTTGTTCTGTTATTGCAGATAATTGTTTTTACCCAAAAGCATGGACCCACTATTAATGGGACCACTGCACATTCTTTTTTGTCTGACAACTACTCACTTGAATTCTCTACTGTTGCCTTTTCATCCTCTCTTTGCAACCTGTGAAATTTGACCCGCCAGCTGATGTCATTCCAGTTCGCACTGCAGGCCATGGAAAACCTCTAATTAATTGGTTCCAGCTGAGAACCATTCAGGTTCTGAGCCGATCGGTCAAAAATATGTGCAGGAACCAGAACGGAGCTGGTTCCATGTTGATGGCTAAGGGGTAACTGTTACTAAGTCATCCATTGGTAGATGGCCTTATGGTTTGGGATGTTTAGGCCCAGTTATAGTATATAAATGATTGAGAGAAACCCTTAATGGTCAGATCCCCCTGTCATTTTCACTGAGGGCTCTCCAGCTCTTGATAAATAGCAGCCCAGATTTGGATTTGTTTTGGTCTAAAGCACCAAAGTCAGAGGTCATCCTCACTGTACAATTTTCCTGCCAATGTTTCCAGATATTCGTCCCCGTTTATTTTCTCCTCAGCTCCACTAACAGCTTGCAGGGTTAAAGAAACAGCATGGAGGAGAGCAATGAGTCCACGGGCCCTCAGATGGATTATATGCTGGGAGGTAAGCAACACAAGACATGTTGTTTGGTTCAGGGGTCAGAGTACTACAAGGGGAACAGCAACTGAGCTTGTGTTTACTCAGGCGCTGAGCCTCCAATCATCTACTTTTCTCTGAGGAAATAAAGCTGGAATTAGTGGCGGAGGCTTGGTTCATTAAAAATCCCCTCCAACATGTTTTAGGACATATAAATATACTGCTTTGAATAATAATTTGTGTCTGGAATGGCTTTCAAAAAAGAAAATCAAATAATGAGTTACAACCTCTTAAATCTATTCAGCTCCTTCTTCTTTGAATAGTCTATTCTTTGTGTTTTTGCAGTGGAGGCAAGTTTTCACATCTCACTTGGCTTTGTTGCTAGAGCTGAGTATCATTACAATATCAGTACCCTTTAAGTAATACCAATATCAGTATAGTATTCTTTTTTCCTACTTCATACCCATCATGTAAATGGGAGCAAAAATGCCACCATGGGCATGTACAACCATACCTTTGAACATTTTGGTTGCATCTACACACGCTGAACAGCCAAATCTGTCAGATACACAGCATTCGACTTCACCACACCACAGACTGTATGGGTTGTGGCTGCCACAACAGTGGGCTATCATATGTCGCAATGAATCAAAGAACGCTTGCAGTGATTGGCTGTGAGCAAAACCATATGATTTTTTTTTTTTTCTAGACATGGGTACAAAAAGAATTAAAAACAGTTATCAATTGACGAGAGAAGTTTCAATACTACTTTGTACTGGATTATTTTGAATGAGACTTCAAAAGTTATCAAGTACCGATGCCCAGCACTATATATTGCTTTAAGGACCAAAATTGGCCTCCCAACTTGTTCAGCCACAAAATGACCATTTGTAAATCAGTTAGTCATGCCATGTTACCTTGAATTCATGAAATAAACTTTGTTTTTCTTACAAGCCTCCATGGAAAATGGTGTTAATACTACAAGGATCACAAAGAGATGCAATGCAACTGCAAAGTGACACAAAATAAGTAAAGAAAGTGGCAAACAATCAAAAAGAGACACAAAATGATGAAAAAACACCACAAAATTACCTTAAAAAGAAACACTACAAAAAACAAAATATGACTACAAAGACACAACATGACCCCCCTAAAAAGACACAATTACAGCAAAACAGTGACTACAAATACACATAAAATGACTACAAAGAGACACAAACAACCGAAAAACACCACAAAATGACCTCAAAAAGACACAAAATAACAACAAAAGGGGCAAAACAAACAAAGAGACACAAAATGAATACAACAAAAAAGAGGCTATGTTACCGAAAAGTCTTTGTGTTTCCAGTCCTATGCAGGAGAGATGCTGCCCCTGCGTAAAGATGTAAAAGGAGAGGGCCGTAGGTTCACTATTTTCCATGGAGACGTGAGAAAAACTGAGTTTTCTTCAAAAATTCTAGGTAACACACCATGACTAACTGATTGACAAATGGTCATTATTTGGACGAAGTATTTATTTTATCTGAGATTTAAGGTGATAACAGAGATAATAATAATAATAATACATTTTATTTGGAGGTGCCTTTCAAGTCACCCAAGGTCACCTTACAGAGCATAGATACTTTCCCCCTTCAGTGGATGAACATCTTCTTGTGTAGAACTCCCATACATGATTCTGCACAGTGAGGGCCAAACATTAACAAGAAACTAGAATTACTGCTCTATGGTTGAGATCTATACAATCAGCAGAGTTTCAAGGTGGACAACCTAGAGTCACCAATTCAGTATCTGACCAAATGTCTCCCCTTCTGTTCCTGAGATATGATGTTGAATAATGGCCAGAAGTCTTTTTGCAGAACATTATGATGTCACAATGAAGCTGACCTTTTGTATGCAAAATGTCTTCACCTGATTATTTTAGACATTTGTGTGAAGTTGTCATAATTAGTTTTACATTATTGAGTTATGGCCAAAAAGATATTTTGTGAGGTCACACTTACCTTCACCTTCAACCACAAAATTCTAATCAGTTTATTCTTCAGTCCAAGTGGATGTCTGTCTCAAATTTGTGAAAGTTCCCTCAAGACCTTCTTTAGATACCATGTTAATGAGTATGAGACAGATGCAGGATCCCAGTGGCCTTTAACCAGCAAATCTCGATCCGTTGAGTCCAAGTGGATGTTAGGTCTAAATTTGAGTAAACTCCCTTAAGGTGTTCTTGACATAATACATTAACAAGAATGTGATGGATGAAGTCACTGTGACCTTGACCTTTGACCACCAAATTGTTACAAGTTCATTGTTGAGTGAACGTTTGTGCCAAATTTAAGGGAATTTTCTCAAGGCCTTCTTGAGATATCGCATTCACGAGAATAAGATGGACACAAAGTCACAGTGACCTTTAACCACTCAATTCTGATCAGTTCATCCTCAATGTTTGTGCTAAATTCAAGGAAACTTCTTTAAGGTGTTCTTGAGGTACTGCAATCATGAGAATGATGAAGACATATGAAGACATAGTGACCTTGATCTTTGACCACTAAATTCTAATCAGTTCATCCTTGAGTCCAAGCGGATGTTTGTGTCAAATTTGAAGTCCCCTCAAGATGTCCTTGAGATACTCTGTTGAAAACTATGTTGATATGAAAGTTAAGCAATTGCATACTAATATAATTTGATTTATTTTGCATTACTAATTATCCAATGTACACAATATAAACTGGTACAGTTGACACTTTAACAACAATCCTGTTTTAATATTTTGTATCTATACATGCTCATTTGAGTCATTGTTCTTCAAAATGGTTGTCCTTTAAAAAAAGACATATACAGCTTTAATGTGAAGTACATTGATTGTAAGGAACAAGAAAAATAAATTGTGAAAAAACCTACTCAAGTTTATAAACATCACTATGAAGCCTCAAATTATTTTCAATTACTTTTGCGAGGGGGGGCAGCATTTGAATCAGGGTGGCTGTGACCCCGCCACCCCTGGAAACACTGCGCTACAGCATCCTTTGGAAAATGGGCTGTAGTAATGTCACAAGCTATGTAGTGAATGGGCTAACCTCTGACCTCAGTAAACTGCTAAATGTTGGTGCAAAGTACGCTGCAAAATTAACTCACACGTTCAATATAAATACATGTTTTATTGGTTTTAACTGCAATCTGTCATTACAAAATAAACCATGAACAAAACCACTGTAGTAACAGCAACAGCTGCTGGAGAATACATTCAACAGTTGCTTCTCATGTGTCAATCCTGTTAACCTCTAACCTACAGGAATACATTTAAGGCTTTTATCTGCTCTCTTATAGAAAAATATGAAGGCACAACATGTGGGACACCTGGAATGTATTTATAGGCACTTTCATGGGCAAAAGTGGTTAAAAAATAACCTTTACATCATCATCACCATCATGATGACTCAAAGTGCTAATAAGTCTGTGCGTGATACCATGGGACAGGCATGCTTCCATCACCTTGTCAAAATAAGAGCTTTAAATGCTTTAGTCACAGGGTTAAACTGATTCAGTGATACTAATAATCAAATCATCCTAATAGAGGACACTGATGGGACTGTTCCAGAGCCAGTTTATATTTGAGAGAATAAAGATGCTGCCCAGAACTGCAGCAGGGATGAGCCCTGAACACAGTGGAAGCTCTGGTTACTGTGTGGCACTTCAGTCTGGAAATTTAACATTTAGCAAGATGCAGGTGGGAGCTGTAAACAGGGTTCCAGCATTCAAACAAATTCAATAGGTAAGTATTAATAGTCACATTTGAATATTGTGCTCAGGGCTGGGCAATATATCAACATGGTGATATGAGACTCGATATGCTTGTAGACTTTGGATATGTGTTGTGTTGTCTTTTCCTGTTTTTAAAGGCTGCATTACAGTAAAGTGATGTCATTTTCAGAACTTGCCCAACTGTTGTAGCTGTTCTATTATTTGTCTTCACCCAATTAGTCATCATATCCACATTACTGATGATTATTTATGAAAAACAAAAAAAATATCTGAGTACATATTTTGTGAAAGCACCAGTAGTTAACCCTACAATATCATCATAATATTATTATCAACGTATTTGGTCAAAGTTATTGTGATACTTGATTTTCTCGATAACGCCCAGCCCTAATTGTGCTGTGCAATATTATTTTTGCAGATGGTTCTAGAATGACACAAGATGGAGGTCTAAAACCACTAAATGTATTGTTTTATGTATCTGAGAAATACAAACATATTTTCTCCAAACATTTTAGTGCAATCCAAACATGGTTGAAAGGTTCGGAAAAAGAGTTTGTGTCACAACTATTTGTGTTAACAGATCAACAGTTTGTGTGTTAATGTGTAATCTGTAAATATAAAACACCTTCTACAAATACAAAGATTTGCAAATTTTAAAAAATATTTTGCAAATATAAAACGGATCTAATTTCACTTGTCAATTAAACTTGGGGTTTATATACATTCATTGTGAATTTCACACTTTAGGCATCAGCTGCTCTGGCAAAAACGGAAACAATGTGTAGAAAGAAAGAAATAGCTTCAGAAACAGACACACCGGCTATCATCTCTGGAGCCGCCAACACCCAACAGCCGCATACAGAACCCTGTTAACCCAGCACCACCTGCACCCTGAGTGTATTCACACTTTATCCACACCCTTAACAACTATATGCCACTAGCTTAGTTACCTGATTAGTTTGCTAATACTGTATTAGCTTTTAACATCATTTGAACCTAACACCCCCCCCCCCCCCCCCAAACGACAATTTGTCTCTAACATGCACAGGGGCATCAACTCTGATGCCTCCAGTGCATTTGTGCCTTCAGACTGCGACAGAGAAGCTCGACCTGCAATCCAACACATGGGAGGACAATAAATAAACCTTTGTGTTTTAAATTAAGATTTCAAAATAAATCAAATGTTACAAAACATGTCATTGCAGTGTAATATATTAACTGTGGAAAAAAAATAATAATAACACAAACAGGTCTTCACAATCTTGCGATTAATACGGAAGATCATAATTTCACATAAAGGAAAAATATATATTCTATTGTTTCATTAACGAGATAAATACAAAATAAAAATGCTTAAGATCAGCAATAAATACATTTTGATAAATAAGCAATGACTGCCAAAGCCCTTACTGACAAGGCTTTGGGGGGGAAAAAAACTAGACAATAATAATAATAATACTAATAATAATAATAACATAATAATAATAATAATAATAATAATGATAATGATAATAATGAACATGGTGGAATTAACAGGAGCGCGTTTGATTTCAGACAGCTGACTGAGAGAACTGATATATGGGGGGCTGGACAGGCTCAGCTGCTGACCAACATGATCAAACGATCAAAACATTTTAGCAGAGTTTGAATTCTTAAGACAAACGTGACCAGTTAACACGAGGAGCCTGCCACCTGCTGTAAATGCTGTCTGCTGGCAGTCTGTTCAAGGGTCAGTTCACCCAAATCTTAAAAAACAAAACAAATACTTCTCTCCTTATTAAATTGTTGGCAAAGAAATTATTTTAACAGTTAAACCCCTACGGTGTAGAGTCTCTGTTAAGGTGTGTTCACACTGAAACATGAAGCAAGTAATTTCAACAGCCAGATTACAAAGTGATTGCAAACATGGAAAATTTGCACTATTCACACGAGTTGAAATTTTTGACTTGAGTGAGAAATCTGTGGGACGCTGTGTTGTAAAAACCTATTAGCACTGAAGTCTAGTTGAGATTCACCTGACGTTACAGAGAATCAGAAATGGAGGACAAATGTATTGTTGCCGTCTGCAAGCACAGGAGCTCTGCCACTGAACGTTTATACTGTACAGACACAGAACAAAAAGGGACAGGGCTCAGAGATTAGTGAGCAAAGATGTAATGTTATATGCTAAGATTTGAAAATATGTATTTGTGACTAGTGTAAGCTATTTTGTTGAGCTGACTCTCAGAATAACACTTCTAGTGATTTAAGGCGGTTTGCTACTGTGCAAAGTAAACAGAAGAAGTAAAGCAGTAATTTGCTGCCATGACAATATGAAAAACAATTAAGAGTGTTATCATCTTGGTTCATGCTGGTTCAGGGCCCTGAGCCTCCTTGTTTACCGTGCTAACATCACTTGATTCCAGCTATCGGTTGTACTTAACTAAGAAACTACCTAGCATTTAGCTGCCTTCCCCAGTTAGTTAGCACAACTGTTAGCGCAGCGATTAATAGTAAATATTGTTGCAAAATACACCAAAAAACATTCCAGCGTCCACACTGGGGTGAGCAACGCGAGGCGAAAATCCACTTCACGTGGGTGTGATCAAATCATTACTCTGTTACTCCAGAGAGCTCAGTGGGAATAGCTGTTATTGGAACGACTTCGCACAAAAGGAACAGTCTGGGTGAAAACTGTCTCCAGTGACTTTTGTGGACAATAGAATAACACGGAGACCGCGCTGGGAAAGATGTTGCTCTTTAAATTAATGTAAATGGAACTCTTTAATACTGTGAGCACAGTTCACACATCTCCAATGTACTAGGATGGAGACAGAAATCTCCAAACAAATAATCAACACTACCTGCACAGCCAGAGACCAAATCACTATGACTTCACACTAACAACAACGACAACTATCAATCTGAATTGCTGACATATGTGAAAACTGGAAACTTGTTTATTTCTATTGTCAATTTTGGCCATAACTGTAACGTTTAAACATACATAGTTAAACACGGTGGTCCGAACTATCTGACTTTTTTTTTTGCTTTGCTAGGCTGAGCAATGTACTGCTGTGGATGGGGGCTGGAGAAAATTGTGTCTTAGCCACCTAAAAAAAAAAAAGATGAGTATTAGTTTAAGTGTGCACTTTACTTAAAATTGTTTCAACTCTTTACTACACACTAAGCAGTCAAGGTAGCATTAGACCAGCAACTCTTGTGTTCTGCAAAGTAAAACGACATGTTTTTGTCTATGGAGTCTGATGGCAAGGTAAAGCTGTGAAAATTTTCTAAATACAGCGTGCACTGAAACTGACAACATCTTTTGGCAGGCTCTCTTTAGGTGGCTAAAAACTAACCCGAGTTACCGTTTGCTCAGCGCTGTTTGCTTTTACGTACTTGACACAGGGGTTTGCTACCCAGAAGTTATTGTAAACAAACATGGTGATTTGGTCTGTACAGGTATGCCACTAATGATAAATGAGAGAATCCATTTTCTGGTAATTTGTGTGAAATGACCCTTTAACTCAACCTCCAACTCCAGAAATCATTTTGAATCCCATTAAAAGATTCATCCCAATGCTGGCTGTTTTTAAAAAGTGAGTCTCTGGTAAGCAAACAGAATGATAACTGACCACCAGCTCTATATTACAAGGCACATAGCACCAGCACTCCAGGCTGACTGAAGGAAAGCAATCTGTCAATGTGACAAGCCAAAGGAAAAGGAAACTGGGCATGATTACTGTTGGCTTCGCATGACTAGTATTTGTGACTAGTGTAAGCTAGGCAAGGCACTTTTAGAATCTTTCCCACTTCCTCTTGTTGATTTTGCGGTGCTGATCTGAGCTGAACACTGAATTATTATAATAATAATAATAATAATAATAATAATAATAATAATAATAATAATAATAATGGCTGTGTAAAGATACACAACACTGCAACACACATTGTACAGCACAGAGACACCCTGTACTGAACACACACACACACACACACACACTGACCCCACTTCCACTCCTACGGCCCATATTAAACTACTTTATAATGGGATCTCTGAGCTACTTTTCACATTCATTCCACCATGGCACCAGTGCAGGGCTAAGCTAATAAGATTCTGCTTTACCAACTGTTCAGAATATTGGAAGAGACTTGATCTGGATTTCTGATGTGACTCGCTGGATAAAACAATCCACAGAGCTGCCTGCTTCTTCTGTAAACAGGGCTGAGAGGAGGAAAGGGGAGTTAGGGAGGTGAATGGTCTCCATCTTCCTCTCTCCCTCCCTTTCCTTTACTCCCATCTCAGCTCAGGGATGCAGACGCCTTAATCATCAGAGACAGAGAGCCTGCTGAAAATAGGAAGGCGACGGGAGGGATCCAGGAGCGGGGACTCAGACCCGCTCTGGCTGCCTAGGCTGCTCTGGTAGCCCTCCTGGTCAGACAGAGAGTCCGGGGGGCTGGGGGAGCTCTCTGACGCAGGTTGGAAAAGGCAGGGGGCAGTTGGGGAAGGTGGGGTCAGACCCTGATGCTCAGACATGGGTGGGGGTCCTGAGCTGGGGCCAAACAGGCTGGCAAGCTCCTGGCTGGAGTAAGCAAATGGGTTGCTCTGCCACTCTGTCAGGTCTTCGTTGGAGAACATGGGTGGGGGTGTGACGGAGGTGGGGCTGTCCTGCTGGCCGCTGGAGCTAGGGAAGCCTGCAAAGCTGAAGCTGTGCTGCAGCCGAGGGCGCTCCATCTTGTTGAAGGCGGAGAGGGGAGGGGGGCCGCGGCGCTCCTCTGCATTGTGGATGAAGTGGCACCGGGGGCCATATGGGCAGAAGCCGATGGTATGGAAGGTGCGGCACAGCTCCGTCTTGTACTTTGGGTGACGGCTCAGGCTGCGCAGCTCGTGCATGCCGTGGGCGAACTGGCACTTGTCGCCATACTTACAGGTTCCATTCTCCTCAAAGGGCCGGCACAGCTCCGTCTTATAGCGGCTCGAGTTGACTTGGCCACTTCCGCCCATGCACACCTGAGTGCTAGACCACAGCCTGTCCCCCAGCTCAGAGTAGGAGCGCTCACGGAAATGGTTCTCCTTGTTGTTGCTGCAGCCGCTACCCACCAACACCGGGGGATCCCTTTTAAGGTTGTTGACAAACTGGTTCTGGCTGAACTTTGCACTGGGGAGGCTGACTGAGTGACGGCGTTGGAACAGGCCTCCTGCAGAGGGGGCCCCCACTGCCTTCCTGTCCAGCAGGGACCCAGCGGGGGTGCAGGGGGAGAGGTTGGCACTGGGGCATGGGACAGACGTCAGCTGGGGTCCACCAAGACTGTTGTTGTTGCTGTAGTTGAACATCTTACTGTTCTGTAAAGCAAAAGAAAAGAAATTAGAAAGCAGTCGAAGTTACCACAAACTTGGCTAGGAACAGAGACTTGCTTTAAATTGACACTGGTTCCAGGTTAATAAAAGCAGGCATTTACTAAGAAACATGAATTTTAATCTTACTTCCTAAAAGCTATGTTTGGACCTAATGTGCTTCTGTTTACATCAGCACAGCTCACATGTGGTATCTTACATGACAAAGCATTTCATGCAGGCTGCAATACAAATGTGTTTTTAATATATCGACACAACTTCAGCATCAGCTAGTGCTTCAGCTTCCTAAACAATCAAAGTTAAACTGACAGCTTCAAAAAGGGCCTGATGGAGAATATGTTTATATTTCTTTATGTCACCTTTGAGCCAAAGTCATATGACAAATATCTGCTAATGGCTGTTTAAATCTGCTAGGAATTAAAGGAATAGTGGTGTGGCTGTATGAGGTACTTATCCATTGTTGGCCTATTAAATGCAGTCTGTCAGCACGCCAAAGTTTGGAGAAGCTGGCAGTAGACTGACACAGAAGCCAAGCAATGTACTGCTGTAGAGGGGTCAGCAACAAAACATATTTTAGCCACCAAAAAAAATTAACACCAGCTTAAGTACTTAGAATATTTTCACTGCTTGACCTTGCTGCTGGTCTACTGCTGCCTTGACCAGTTAGTCTGTATTATTGTATGACCTTCGCTTTTTTTTTTTTTTTATAAAAAGGGGAAAAGTTAGGATTCACCAAAGTCATTTAATAACACAAACTAACTAACTAATCGAGGTGAGGTAGACCAGCAGCTCCGGAGGTCAGTGAGCTAAAATTACTGTTTTTCTCAATAGTCTGGTGGCTAATATGAGACAATAGATATGGAATGGCTTCACAGTCAGGCTGTCTGGCAGAAAGCAGTGCAGCTTACACTCAAACAGATTTTTAGGTGGCTAAAATACATTTTGCTGTTTGCGTTTTGAATGAAGTGTACGCTATATTTGGAGTATTGTCACCACTTGTGTCACACAGTTTGCCCTTACAAAAGGAGCCATTAACCGCTTCAGGTTCAACCCTATGCTCTCATCAAATCTATCAGACACGACTTACAAGTTTTTGCTAACTGAACACAGCAGCTGCTGATCTACCGCCACCTAACTCACATCACTCCAGTTCTGAGGTCTTTCGCTGGCTGGCTGTCAGAGAATGGGCTTCAAAACACTACTGTTGGTTTACAAAGTACTGGACAGTTTGGGGTCTAGATATATTTCTGATCTTCTGCTACACCATGAACCATCAAGACCACTCAGGTCTTCTGGGACAGGTCTGCTTTGTCTCCCCAGAGTCAAGATTAAACATGAGGCAGCATCTAGTTTTTATGCACCACATATCTGAAACAAACTCCCTGAAAACTGCAGGTCTGCACCATCTCTCACTTCTTTTAAATCAAGGCTGAAGACTTTTCTGTTTGCTGCTGGCTTTTATTCAATCAAATATTTTTTTTCAGTTCTTGCACTGCACTGTAATTGTTATTACTGAAATACTTTTATTGACTTTAACTGCACTGTAACATTATTTAACTCCATTTTAAATAATATTTTTATCTTTGCATCTCTTGACTGCACTTTTGTTATTTTTAAATAGGGATTCTTTTAATTGTTAATGCAGAACTAATTTTACCTTTTTATCTTTTTCCTCCTCTTTATTCTTTAATTATAGAGCTGTATCCTTTATTATGTTTTATTGTTCTGTAAAGCACTTTGCCCTGGTGTATGAAAACTGATAGATTGTTTTAAGTAGGATTTTTTTAGGTAGCTAAAATACCTTTTGTTGCTGACCCCTCCACAGCATTACATTGCTTGGCTTGCGTGTCACCCCTCCGGTGTGCTGACCGCCATCTACTGTAGATAATACACCAGCTATGGATAAGTACTTCTTACAAACCCCCTTTAAAAATCCAAACTATCCCTTAATGAGCATTGGAAGAGGTCTAAAAGCATTGTGTAAACAGTCTTGTATTTTAAGACTACACAGATCAGCTTGTATATTTTAACTTATCACAAACGTATCTGCATCAGTCTTTGTAAACAGAGTAGTCTGTATGACCCCAAAGTTGAGAAGCACTGCCTTAAAGCCACTTTGGGACATCTTTAATTCTATATTTACCGCATGCGTTGCACATGTGATGCCTCTTTAAAACAGCCTGCCTTACCAGCAATTTAACAGATTACCTAAGCAATCCATGTCCAGAATCGAAACTAAAAATGTACAAATCTGCTTGAGGCGCACAAATTGGTTTAATAATTAGGTCTGCTCTGGGAATAACGCGCCTGCTACTCTGCATTTCATGGCCAATATTTGACTGACCTGTAACGTTAACTACACTCTACTCTGTTGGGGCACTGATATCCATGCAGAATACTAATGACAGGCAGCAGCAATAACTGTCAATCTTATGGCCTTGATGGAAAATATAAATAAAGGGGTGGATGCTGAAAACGGTTTCGACAGCTCGTAAGATTCTTACACACAGCTAATTAAAATTAAAAAAAAGCAGCGTTGGCTAATACGATAACGCTGTGTTGCAACTTCATGACATCTTCCATGACCTAACGTTACCGTTTTATAACTACGATAACACAGTGACGATGAGCTAGTTAGCTTAACACAAAGTTCATACACAGACGAAAGACGCAAAGGAAGTTAACAGTTAGCGGGAATTAACTTTTAATGGCTAACGTTACGTGCAGTTATAAACAACGCTAGCCTTCACGGTTTACACACACACACACACGCACGCACGCACGCACGCTGGGCTTTCACATTCAACGTAGCCATTTTATTTCAGTAACAATTTACTTTCAACAGTCTACTCAGTGTGTGTGCGTCGCATTAAAATTACCTAAGTTGCATAACGTTAACGTTATGCAACTTAATGCAGACAAAGTTGGCCAAAAACTTATTTCTGAATAACACAAACGCAGCGTTAACTGGTTTAAGGGAGCCGAATGGTGTTTAATGATGACACAAATGTACTGTAACTTGTCAACAAGCATGTGGGTGATGCGTGATACTGTCCTAAACCGTGACATCAAACTTAACAAAAGTGGCTAGGCTAATGTTAGCATGTTTTCTCCAGAAGAAGAAACCTCAGGCGACCGCTTTCTGCTCGGATAAGCGAAATTTACCTTGTTGGACGCTTCTCTGTAGTCGAAGAATGGAGAAATAATGGACGCCGTCATTTTTTTTGGAAGAAATGACTGAATGAGCTGTCGATTAAAAGTGGTAGTCCCGGTTTTATGGTTCTACTGCCCCGTGGAGAGCCCCCTCTGCCTCTGCCGTGCTGTGGAGTTGCGCACTTCCTTTTCAACAGGCAGCCATCGCTGCAGCGTGGGCGGGCCTCCGCTGACACGCTGCAGAAATCAGGAGAGAACAGCGCCTCTGCAGGACAAACAGCTACCTGCCTCCTATCAAGGGAAAATATAACATTATTATGTCTTCTATCCTCAATCTGGCATTAATTAAAATAAAGTCAATTAAATATTGTTTTAAAAAATCAAAATTACTTTTATGCGGGTGAGGGTGAGGTTTTTGGCCTGTCCCTCGCTATGATTGTTGCACCCCAGAAGGAATTTTCAAATGTAAAATGTTGGCAAAATGTTAAAATGGTCACATTTACATATTGTTTTATGTCTGATCTTAATGTTAAACAGTGTTTTTTGTAAAAAAATAAAATAAAATACACACACACATATATGTATATATATATATATATATATATATATATATAATATTTATCAGTTTATCAGTGTCCCCTGATTTCATGTCAATCCTGTTATTAGATTTGACATGATTTACAGGAAGATGCATCATCTCTGAACTTGGATGCTAACACTTCAATGACAAGTACGTTTGTCTAATCTCTGATATACTATTTTTGATGTTTTATTAAGGTTTGACCAGGGGGGGCAAGCATACAACGTCAATCCTGGCGTAAAATAAACAGTCCTGTTTATTTTTTCATATTATAATCAGTATCTACAGGTAACTGCCTTTGAAAGTTCACAGCATGTGCTTAGGCTAGCATTTGTTTTAACTGGCAATAAGCATTTTAGCTTGAAATGGTCAACCCTGTTACCTTTCCAGAGTAACAGGATTTGACATGAGTAACAGGTGTGGCACAGATCAGTGTTTACTTTTACTGTCTTTAACAGTCAGCCTTATATAATTAAATTATTTTTGAAGGTCATCATGTAAGTATAATTGAGCTCATATCAATACTATGATCAAACTGTTTTGATTTTTTTTTTCACTGTGAAAATGAGGCCTTTGACATATGATGAGTTTGTATGGTCTGGCTGTTTTCAGTTATGTTTAACTGCTACAAAAATCTTTTTACTACTGGTACTATGTTAAATGAATTAAATATTGTTAAATGTTCCTAAATTAATATCACTTAAACATGACTCAATGTGTTTTAATATGTTAATGACCAATTTGACAATAATCTGTCTCAATAAAAAAAAAAATCCAGAATGTTTGTCAGTAATGCATGCATGCACTGCAATGACAAAAAAACATTAGACCTCTTATAAATGTAATGCGCTTCAATAACACAACACTGCCAATCAAGTGTAAAACAATATTCTGATGATATTCTGTAACTTGGGAGGTAAAACAGTGTAGGCAGTAGAATGTGAGTCCTGTCATCCATTAGTCATGTCAGCCCGGTTACCGTAACAGGGCTCACAATCAATCCTGTTGTTATTATTAATGTCATGAAAATGTAAAATATAACAGTAATATAAATGGACTTTCAGCTCTTACCATTACAATCTAAATTATGTTTTATTTTGGACTGGGCCATTCTTTCAATATTTCTCTTCTAAAAAATATATCTTTTTTTCTAAATAGACTTGTGATTGCCACTCAATGCAAGGATGCACTTGATAATCTGAATGAAAATTTCAAATTGGAAAAAAAAACACATCTGAAAATAATCTCAATGAAAAAAGGGACCAGAGTATTGCTGATATATTTGTCATCTATTACATATGTCTAATTAAGCATATTATATATAGTTATACTAAGGTCAATAATGGGGTTTGACAAAACTATTAAACCATTAAAGAGAAAAACAGTCATAAAATATGAAATTCCAAAGCCTGAGATGGCACAGTACAAGTTCTTGTAACTTTAAACTGTCTTTAATCCCTGGCAACTTAAAAAAAAATAGCAATTCAATTTAATTTAAATTTTAAGTTTTCAAAGTTGAAAAGGTGCAGATTTCGTGGAATGACTCAGGGGCTGTGGTAGCGCCATCATATTGTAAAAACAAAATGTAACTTCTCAATATCTAGTAAAATATTAATATTTAATAAAGTAGTCAAGTCCTTTCAAGTCATCTGTCTCAAGTCAAAGTCAAGTCATGAATACCAAGTCAAAAAAAAAAACATACTTTTCATCTTTGGACTTGGTGGAAGGTATCAAGTACTTATCAAAAGGCTCAAGTCCAAGTGAAGTCACGAGTCATTGGTGTTAAAGTCCAGATCAAGTTGCTGGTCTTCTTTTATTTTGTCAAGTCTAAAGTCATTACATTTGTGACTCAAGACTGACTCAAGTCCGAGTCATGCGAGTCAGCACCTCTGATAAAGAGTTATCAGCTCTGTAGATTACTCATCATTGAAGCTTAATATAGACCTCTTGGCTGCTGTGTGGTATTGTTGAAGCATTGCATCAGCCTGTTTTTTATTTCCATGGAGCAGTAGTCTGATTTTACTGAAGCTCACACATGGTGACTATTTTTTTAAGCAATAGTCTTTTCTAACCTCTCCAAGTCTCTTCTTACAGCCTCAAATCTGACATGGAAATCTTCCCACCAACACACTGGGCTTCATGAGATCCCAGAGACCTTGGCACCCAGTTCTGGGCGCCTGATTGTTGACATAGTGGTATTTTGCAACACAAAGTACACTGTGGTTTATTTTTGAAAATCCTTGCCACAACTTATTTTCCCTTCTCTTGTTGTTTTTGTTGTAGGGGACTTAGGTCTGTGTGCTTTGATGGAGAAAAAGAAAACACAACAGGGAGGCAGGGAGCAAAGTGCCTATTTGTTTGAAAAGCAGTTATCCAATTTATTTTGCTTCACACATTTTATTATGATGTTACACCAGAGACATACACATATGTTGTGAAATGGGGCCGTAAATTGTTGTGGTTTTTAAACGGAAGCCGTAACTTAAAAAATTGGCCCCTTCCTTTTCAGGCTCTTAAATAGTTCATATAGCTGCTGTAAATGGGGGGAATGGTTTGGGCTCTGTTGGACTGTAGGACTGTGATCACAATGTTCTGTACAACACTAAACTTGACAGATATGACCAATTTTACAAATTGACACACTTTACTATTGTCACTTCAGGTCACACACATACTGTAAAAGTTCCCACCTGCGGTCCAGTACTACTGACACCATTGTTTGTCAGTTTTGTAGTTTTCAATTGTTTTAGAAATAGTCTTTTTGACATTGATGTGTTCATGGAACTTTCATTGTTTTCATGACAAATGGATGTGTGAGGCTGGTTTCACGAAACTGGTCTATGTAATTTTGTTAGTATTCGATTTGTACTGAGACCGGGGTACCTGTTAGTCTAAAAAAATAACTAATCAAGCCCCTAGCAACCTCACAACACATTCAGCCAGACTGAACACAGATAGCATAATTTAAAAGCAGGTCATTTTCTATATTTGTACTTTTTTATGTACGCAAAAAGCACAAATTAATATATGTATTTTCATCTCTGTCAGCTGTAAGCTTGAAAGGGATCATGTGTTTGGTCCTGTGTGCCTACATGTGTGTATCCATCTGTCCTTCAGCCAAACCACAAGACCAATCAGCCCAATATTTTGTGTGCACATGTAAAACCTAAACCTGTTTTATTGACTGTTTTATACCATCACTGATTGCTGACTCACTACTACACAAGTTTGCTGGAAATAGTCTTGGCTAAAAACAACAAGCCATACTGTCTGTTGCAGGCCATATTTTGGTCTTTGACATGGCTCAAACACTGACATCCACAGAAAAGTTTGGTCTCATTTCAAACTGGAGCATCTGCAGATTAATTCCATACTTGGTATGTTATGATCCACTAAAGTTCAGCTCAATTACACCAGGTGTACTGCATCGTATTTCAGCTGCCATGGCTGCGACCCAGTTTTGTTCCATCCACCGCAGGCATCATACCACAGCAAGAGCATTTCAGAAGCGAAACATTCCTTACTTTGTTGATTTGGTCACTTTTCCTTGATATTTGTGCTTCTACCCTGAATAATTAAGTAAGCTACATAGATAAATGGTCTCTTTTTGGGTTTGTTTCAATTCTGTTTATTGTTGTTGTTGTTAACTACTTTGTTGTGATGTAGCCTACAGACAAAATTAATACTATTAAAAGTCCAATTATGAATGGATCAAGTGAGCAAATGGATTTCATGGATCAGGGATTTGTGGCTGTTTTAGTTATTAAAAAACATCCTTCGTCATATTACAATGTATCCATATTACACATACAGAACCTGTTAGCAGGAGAAGTCAGTCTGCTCTTTGTAATGCATTGCAGCTCTTTAAAAAAAACAGATGAGGCGTGATTTTTTTTTAGTTACCGGGATGCTTCAAAAACATGCTGTGCCATGTCTGTGGCAAAAGAATTGCTATTTCCCCCCCTAGTATTTTTTCTGTGCAACCATTATGACTGGGATGATGTCATCAAAGTTATATAATACCTATGTCATGGATTTAAAAAGCTCAAAATGTCTCAAACATTGCGCTCAGTATTCAGTTCATTTTTACCAGTGGGACACTCTTGGTTAAGACATCTAATACAAACCTTTCAGTAAAGTCAAAAAATAAACTTCAGCCAGTGGGAGGACAGACGAGGTCAGTGGAGCAAATCCTGCTGGCAACAGGATGCTGACTGGAGAAAATATGAGCCAATGGTGTTATATCTTAAACAAATAAAGGAAACGCTGCATTCCAAGGTCAGACAGAAAAAACAGTCCTATCTGATAGCAGCAATCAGATAAACATTATGTCATTCATGTCAGGAAACAGACAGGGAACTGGGCCAAGAGTGACATCACTGCTGACCTGCTGATTCCTCTGCGTAAAGATCGGAAATGCTGGTGGTCATATAAAGGTGACCCCACTGATGAGGATGTTAGTCGTCAGAAATCAGTGTTGTGACTGACCCCTGTGTGATCTTCAGGTACTGTTAGCTTAAAGCAGCTCTGTAAATACCTTATCTGTGTGCATACACAAGCATGTTCTGTAGAAATGTCTGCCCCACAAACCTTTGACC